TGTGTTTTGGCCTGAACGGCCTGTACTTAATGATCTTAGATAATACTTCTTAGGCTCATCTTCGGACATTCGTAATAAAAAATGGAAATGAGAAACAGAGAGCGGAGATCTTTTAATGTCCTGGGGCCTAGGGCAAAAGGGCAAAAGAGGATAACCAGAATGCCGAACATGATGTTGAAAGAGCCATAGAGGTGCTCCAAAGCCAAAAAACGAATAAAGAAAAAAACATAACCAAAGTATATCGAATCGGCAAATCTGCAGCTGACAAAATTAGGCCATTGAGAATGATTTTGTCCTCTGCAGACGAAGTTAAGCAAATTTCACATGTCAAAAATAACTTGAACATAAATGGCGTCTATTTGAAATCAGTCTAGACTCCATTACAAAGTGCCCATGTTCAAACCATCCTGAAGGAGCTCGAGGAACAGAGAAATAAAGGTGAACAGAACCTGAAGAAAAAAATATAATAATTATTTAAGAATTATTATCAAGCGGGACGATACTGCTTCAAAAAACTAAATACCTCAAGCCTAGTGGAGGCCGCCTTCTGGTACAGCAACCTGAACTCAATGTTAAAGGAAATCAACAAAGTTCAAATTAGCATCGAAAACAACAATAGTTCCATTATATTGATTACCGGGACATGGCTTAATCAAAATATCCCGAACAACATAATAAATATACCAGTATACACATAGGCAAGACAACGGATCCAATGGAGGTGGGGTCTGTATCTATATCAGGAATACAATAGTGAGACATGCAGTGCAAGTGATGAGCAATAGCGACTTCAGTACATCAGGAGCCGTAGAATCAATATGGCTTGATATCTCTATAAGAAACATGATACTTACTTTAGCCTGCATCCACAGACCCAAACAGCACACCACAATTGAGCAAAGTCAGCAACTCCTACAAGTAATAGAGAGAGCCATGTCATCAATAAAGCCCGTATTTTTCTTTAGGGACTTCAACTATACCCGGAGATTGACTGTGACACCCTTACTCTCAACCCCCATGATCAATGTAGCCTAGACTTTTTGGAAGGCTGTAAGTCGGACAGAGGCAAGCAACTAATATCAACTTTCCCACTAGGATAAGAAATCAGCAAGTATCCCTACTGACCCTACTTGACCTTATGATCGAGAATGACCATAAAAACATTTTTGATCTCCAAGAGCATCCACCCTTGGGTCGCAAGGACCCTGTACCTACCTAGTAATAACAGCTACAGCTCAATTGCAACTTCCAGTCGAACCAACCCACAAGGTCTATAAACGCGATTTCTAGCATGCTGACTACGAAGAAATAAATACCTTTCTGCAACATCAACTAACCCAAGAAGAACCATTGAACTAAAATAACCTAGAAGCTGCCCTCCATACAACTATAGAGTACTTCATCCTCCTAAAGTCCAAAAAAGCAAATACTCAGAATCCCTGGCTGAACGAAGGGGTGTTCAGGGAAATCGAGAAGAAAAGAGATGTATGGAATAAGTATAGGTACAGGAAAAATCAAATAGAAGAAAACTATTCTTTCTACCGTATTCAGAACCACAGAACAAAATACTAGATACGTCTCAGAGACACGAAAACACTATGGGCACAACCTTCTAGCTGGCCCAACAAGCATATTTATGCATATATGAATCGTAGCCTCAATTCCAAACACACCAACTCCAGCCTAATCGACAAAAATACTAATATTATAATTGATGCAGAGGATGTGGCCAGGTCCTTCCCTGCATATTTCCAAAGTGTTTATGTGCAACCTCTCAGCACTGAAACTACACCTGCTTTGTCACCGAACACACTATATCAGCAATAACATTTACATCTGAAAAAGTGATGGCCGCCATGCGTTCTCTCAAGACTCACACCAGCCCTGGACCAGAAAAAATTCATACAGTATTTCTGTCACGGTGTAAAGAGACACTATGCAAGCGAATATCGGAGGCAAAATGAATTGCATTGCATTTTCCTGAGATCTGGAGGCCAATTATTACTTTAACCAGTGCCATTTGCAAAGGCATGGAGGAAATACTCGTAGGTGCGCTAACAACCTTTTTCCTCGAATAACCATGCTGATGATAACCAACAACCCATAGATGTTGTGTACTTGGACTTCAAGAAGGCTTTTGACAAAATCCCTATCAACCTGCTCATCTAAAAACCAGTGATGCCAACTCTGGGGATTTGTCCCTAGTTCTAGGGATAAATATGCAGAAAAAAATTGTCTAGGGGTGTAGGGAAATTCTAGGGGGTTTTCTGTTATTTTTAATTTTTCTTATACATTTTAGTAAATTCTAAAAAAAAAAAATATATTAATATAGTATTACATATTCTTTAAAAAATCGGAAGTGACCTTATTATTGGTTCGTCTGAGTAATTACATACACCATACAACAATATCATTTTTGTACAGGGTGTTCCGAAATTATTGCACCAAATTTGGATGGCATATTCTATGTCGAAAATAAGCCACTTGAATTGAAATTCTAAGAAGAAAACTATTTTCTTATCATAATTTTCAAACCACTAGATATTTCAGTGAAATTTTGTTCACTGCTTGCAAGCAGCAAAAGACATTTTTTAATGGGAAAAATATGTTTCAAAAAAATACCAGTGACGTCACAAAAATAATTTGAAACTTTAGGTGTTCAATGTTCAACATTTTTATCAGAATTGTGACAATTTCGTCATGTATCAAAATGGTATTTTATTGATTTACTTGAAAACGATGCATCTTTGGGAAAAAAATCAAGAGATTAAAGGCCGAAACCCACTAGCAACACGCCACGCCACCCCATGCCATGTGACACAGGTTCACGTGGGACAGTTTGTGTGCAAATGGACGGATGGCGTGGGGTGCCATGGCGTGGTATCGCGTATGGCAAGTGTGTACGCAGCACATATAAATAAATGGAACAATATACGCATACATTTTCGTCACATGGCGTGGCGTGGCGAAGCATGACGTGGCGTGTTGCTAGTGGGTTTCGGCCTTAAAGGACCCCGCATAACTCTTATGGGTTTTTGGTTTTCTGTCAAACTCAATGAAATTTTGATATGTGGTATATCTTGACTTACTGATAAAAAGTTCCCATGGGCCCAACCCGATACTATGAATAGTTTCCGAAATACAGGTGGTTTAATGTCCAAGAAATGTACACATTTTATATGCATTCACATCTACCTGTCACCTATTAATAGGTTTGTCAGACTGTTAGAGTGAATTTCATTGGTTGAAACTAGTTTTCTGACTGTTTCTGACTGTTTTCGACCAATCAAATTCGCTCTGACGGGTTTGTGATTTTTGCAGAAACAGACCTATTATTAGGTGATAGGTAGATGTGAATACATATAAAATGTGTACATTTCTTGGACATTAAAGTACCTGTATCTCAAAAACTAATCATAGGATTGGTTCGGGCCCATGAGAACTTTTTACTTATCAAGTTAAGGTCTAACACATAGCAAAATTTCATTGAGTTTGACAGAAAACCAAAAACCCATAAGAGGTGTGCGGGGTCCTTTGTTTCAAATTGAATGGGAATTTCAAAAAGATTTTTATTTTAGGAAAAAGCAGTGGCGCGCCATTTTTTTCTTAGAAAATATTCCTCACAAATGCGGTACGGACGTCTCTGGTGATTTTTGAAATAGACAATTTCACATCAAAAAATGCCTTTTGCTGCTTGGAACAGTGTACAAAATTTCAATGAAATATCTAGAGTGGTTTGAAAATTATGATGAAAAAATAGTTTTTTCCTTGGAATTTCAACACCCTGTATCTTGGAAAGGAAGCGTTTCCGGACTTTGTATTAGTTCCACTCAGAACTAGTTCCGAATCATTCTGCACATGCGCATATTATAAAACGTGTTTACAGTCCTCAATTATTTTTTGTGCGCAAGCAGTTCTGCGCAATCCCAGAACCGTTCCAAACTTCGAAACAAAATAAAACTACTGTCGCCACCACACCAGTAACCAGTGACGTCATAACAATGTTCAATTGCTTTTGGAAATTCTATGTTGTTTTTTAAAACTTGAGGCTTATTGTGATAAGTTTTTCAAAATATTTTTTTTTTTCTGTAAATTGCAAGTATACATTACATATCGCAATTATTATTAGGCTGTTATAATAATTCTAAAATGAATTTGAAAAATATAAATTCTAGGGAATTCTAGGGATATTTTTTTTCAAATCTAGGTATTTCCACATCCCATCAGTTGGCAACACTGCTAAAAACTTTAGCACTACGGTATTAGAGGACAGCGTCTGCGGTTCATCAGCAGCTTTCTTCGGGGTCGAATAGTTCAGGTACTAGTAAGGTCGGCAGTGACGAAGGAGTTCAGTGATTACAGTAGTGTTCCCGAGGGCTTAGTTCTGGGCCCCCTACTGTTCATCGTTTAGGTAGGTACCTGAGTGACTTGTATGCGGGTTTGAAGACAAACCCTGAGGAAAACCACCTATTTAAAATATTATTTCTTAAAATCTTTTACTGAATAAAAGTAAATGTTGCAACCATGTATGCTCCCTCAAGGATTGAACAAGCGCGCCACAGAAAAACGAAGTTACCGAAACCGAAGAGAAGGTAGAAGGGAATACGCAACTAGACTACAGAAGAAGCTGGGCTGGTCCGACGCGTGTCTGTAATTATTCATTATTCAATTTTCATTTTTATTTTGCAATAAACTGATTGTTCAATCCAATTTGTTATTAGTGTGTGTGTCAAGGAGAGTTCACAGGTCAGTGTGAAATTCACCGAACCCAGTTTAAGAACAGACTAGATGTCGAAATGAAACAATAGTCAAATCATCTCGTGCATTTTATGTGATAGAATAGAAAATTGACTGTAACAAATAATGTATTAGAAAATATATATATTTAAGAAAATTGAACTGTAGTTTAATCTTAAATTAATGGTCTCATCGGGTTTCTACCCGCTTACTATTGTAAATTAAATAATAATAATAATAATAATAATAATATGTAGTTGATAATACAATTAGAAAATTTGCATTAGACTTCAGTTTCTGCATGGTTTTAAAAGTTTCAGGGTAACATTTTCAAAACTATGTTATTATTTGGCTTATTACTGAATTACCATACTTTTAAAATAAAATATCTGTAAATGGGTACTGCCATATGTATATGGAATTAATTAATACAGATAAAAATACATAATAAAATTGAAAAAATGTAGGTACCTATCTATAAAAGTTAAAACAAAATTATAATTATAAATTAACAAAAATCACAATATTCCTATCTATAGAATGGTATAAAGCAATTAAACAAGCCTCAATTTAAACAATCACTATTATTTGCATGGACAAATTTTTGAGTTTCCTCAAATACACTATCACAGTCAATTTAAATTATGGCTTTCTTTAATATCAAGGTACCTATTCATTGTGAATATAAATCTGTATCCCTTTTAAAAACAGGATCCTTCAGTACAGTCTTCAATACATCATTGTGAATTTCTAAAGAATTGGTGGCATAATGTAGTACCAAGTCCATAAGAGAATTGTAAATATTATACGGTTCTGCAAACCCATACCCCTTATTAGTTTTATTTATTATACAATGGTTCGGTGCACCGTTGCATACAACCACCAGTACGTAGTTATGATTATTTGTAGACTTTCTAATAAGAAATGTCCCATCTGGTTTTCCACTTAATAATTTTTCAGATTCTTCTCTAGAACAACCAGGCAATAGCCAGGTGTTTTTATCACGTAGCTTGGCTTCTATTTCAGTTTCCATTTCGTCTATTGTATCATCTTCTCCATGTCTATTTATTTTCGACTGTGGGTATCCACGTTGTTGAAGCCACCGAATATATTTTTCACGTTCTTTGTGTAAACTATGAATTTCTGGCTTGAGAGAAGTCAATATTCTCTCTCGCGTCCGACTATACTCTTCTTTACTTCGTAAATTTTTTTCTTGATGTTCACAACTCTCCTTCATCATGGTTAATCTTTCTTTTAACAATTCTGAATTCAGCTCTAAGCTTTTAATTTCATGAGGTTGGGCTTTACTTTGGAATTTTTCTTTGATTATAGTTTGTTCCTCAAATACTCTCACTAATTCTCTGAAAGCATTAAGAGTTTGCTTCCGAGTTTGAATTTCTTGTGAGGTTTCATTGAAATCATTTGACACTTGTTCACAATCTGTCTGTTTCTTTGCTAAGTTTTTTTGCACTTGTTCTAATTTTGCTATCAGTTTGTCGAATCTTTCGCTTTTTGCTTTATCATCTTCTTTATTCCTTTTTACAGGATACAGAAGCTTAATATTGAGGGATGCGTTGTACTGAGAAAGAGATACTCTCTTGAAATGTTCAATCAGGTCCACTACTGAGTTGTAGCTATAGGGCTCGGTGAATCCGAATTTTCCATCTTTATGACAAATTTTAATTAACTTATTGGCACCACCTTTTCTTAAGGTTAAGGTATATTCTCCACCTTTGCTAGACGCGTCGCGGACTAAAAACGTACCATCTACGGTATCATTTAACATTTCATTTACATCTTCTCTGTCAATATTTTGCCAGTACCATTCTGCATCTAGTAAGGACATGCTTGTTTCTTTGTTGAATTGTTGGTGTTGAGATGAAAACGGAAACTTCCAGCCCTAATTGCAGTTCAAATGAAGTAGGTACTGCGATTATTCTGTTGTACGCTTAGCTACTGTCAACAACTTGTCTGGAAAATTAAAATAAGATAAATGCTATTGGGGTATAAAGTTTTTCAACAAGCTTAAATCTAAAATGAAAAATGTTTCAATAGCAAACGCACTTAAGAGGAGTTTCTAGTGATAGTCATTAGTGGAAACAATAGGTTAACATTTGTTGAACTGAAATAATGACGACAGCAAACAGTTAATATAGTGCAGTAAATAGAGACAAATAAATCGCATTTACTAAAAAAAAATACTTAATGGCTGAAATTTTGAGGGTGTGTTCGGGGGCATGTCCTGAGTCTAAAACTGAGTTTTCGTATTCGAGGGGGTGGGGGAAGATACTACCCCCTCTTTATGTAGGGTTGAGTTCGTTTTAATTCCTTATCTTCGGTGCTATTGCACGTACCGTCAAGTCCGAGAGATCAAATTTGTGGGAAATAAAATTATCTATCTAATGATAATAAAATCAAGGTCATAGGACGATTAGGTGAATCACAGTGGACGGTCAAAGGTCAAAAGTGACGGGTAGTTTTTGGTTTTTCGTGAATACCATGAAACCTGTAGGTTTTTTCGCATACTGCTTACATATTATTTCGAAGTACTTGAAATTACCTAAAAATGAGTGCTGAAACACTCATCTACTGTGAATAGTTTGCCGTCAATCCAACGACCAAGTTGACCGCGCGCGCGCCGATGTTGACCGCGCGCGCTTAGGAAGCGTCAGAGCAAAAAACGCCTAGAGACATTTTCGACGTATTTTTTCCTCCCCTATCCGATGAAAATTTTAATTTTTCAAAATTCGTGAAAATCAATGCAAAACGCGTATACCCCATTCTACGCCCTTTCTCAAAATTAGGAGATAGGCGCTAAAACCTTTCCTATATGTCGTAGAGAGCTGAAACTTGAAATTTAACCTTTGGCTCGACAAAATTAAAAGTTCTAAGTCCCCTGAAAATTTCAACTTTCTAGCTTATCGGGAAGTACAACATCGGCGCGCGCGGTCAACTTGGTCGTTGGATTGACGGCAAACTATTCACAGTAGATGAGTGTTTGAGCACTCATTTTGTAGGTAATTTCAAGTACTTCGAAATGGTATCTAAGCAGTATGCGAAAAAACCTACCGGTTTCACGGTATTAACGAAAAACCAAAAACTACCCCCCACTTTTGACCTTTGACCAGCCATTGTGATTCACCTAATCGTCCTATGACCTTGATTTTATTATCATTAGATAGATAATTTTATTTCCCACAAATCTGATCTGTCGGACTTAACGCTACGGGCAATAGCACCAAAGATAAGGAATTAAAACGAACTCAACCCTACATAAAGAGGGGGTAGTATCTTCCCCCACCCCCTCGAATACGAAAACTCAGTTTTAGACTCAGGACATGCCCCCGAACACACCCTCAAAATTTCAGCCATTAAGTATTTTTTTTTAGTAAAATATCCCTATTTACTGTACTAATATGAAGCAAGTTAATCAAATGTTGGTGGACTTGATGAAAAATATCGAAGACAAGAATGAATAATGGTCAGACTGTATCTTATAGAATAATAATCAATCATGTTTACTAGGTACTCTTACATTGTATTTATATAGTGACTTCATTATTAGTTTCAACATCGGAAAACAAGTCTACAGAGTATTTTTTGAGTATCCGGGTCAGAGTATAATTTGAGAAATGTGCAAATAAGAGTATCGAAATGTTTTTGACTGAATTCATTGTTTCATTGACTGAATTGTTCTACATGCCTACGTACTTATAGCATATTATCCACATTATTATCTTCATGAAGTAAATGAAGTTTAAATTATTAGATAATTAAAAATGTATAAGGTACCTTCAAGTTCAAGAATAATATTAAGATAGCAGCGATACTGGATGATTAGCAATAAGTTTACTAGATTATAATAAAGTTCTTGGGGAATACATATTTGTTCCTATTGCAAAAACAATGAATAATAAGTGTTACTACAATATTATATTTTTAAGTTGTCTGTGCAAAAACTCCTTTCGCAAAGGGAACAAGACATATGAATAAAGAAATTGTATACGCCTTACACCATAATATAGTTAAAAATAGAACTGCATGCGTCACAAACACTCCCATATCTTCAGCCAATAACAAGCTAAAGTTGCCTTTACCACACACCACACAACTATATTTCTAATTTTAAGTGGGATGATTGCGATATATATTTTCTCTACTGTTTGCAGTTCGTTTATCGCTTATATCGAATAAAAGAGTTTAGCACTTAATGGCGTTTACCATAACATACTATCCTTGATACTGGCCACACTGACGATGTGTTTTATCGGCTAACATTCAGGATTCGGGCTTATTCGCGTAGCGTGAGGGAGGTCAACTTTTCCGAACGTTCGTTTTTCGCGATTTTTCCGTCAATTAGCCGCGAGATAAAGAAAGGGGAACTGTGGCTAACATTGCTCCCACACGCTTCGATAGTGGCTGGCGAGTTTGAGATAGTACCGCAGTAGATAACTCGGTTTGATTTGAGTTGGTTTTGGCAACTTATTTATTTAAAGACATTTACCCACCTTCTTTATCTTCAATAATAAAGTACAAGGTATTTAAAATCACAGTAGCAGCGGCAACACTCTGCTCTTCTTCACTTATCACCGTCCACTGAACGAACTGACCCTTTTTAACTAAACAAGGACAATAAAACTGGTAGCGCAACCGCGAGACTGGACCACTGATTTTCACAGCGTTTAACGAAGTTTTCCGAATCCGAACATTTCTTACCTATACCTACCTTCTGCTTCCTCTTCCACATAAAAAGATGCTTCAGTTTTATTTTTGTCTTTCAGGTACATAACTCCTTTCTAGATTATTGCTATCTCGATGAATGACTTTTATAAAAATCCTATTTCTAATAATACCTATATGAAAATAAGTAGAGCCATTAATATCCAGTTGTTATGAAATTGTTATCGACAACCCGGCCTGATTCTACGAATTTAGTTGTTTACGTCTTTTGTGGGCATTCTATTATATTCGATAAATATATTTTTCTAGATAGATTCGGACTACACGATGCCGACTATAACAAGCGTGTTGTTGTTGTGGTCCTCTCCTCAGTCAGTTTAAATACGAGATTTGTCATTGTTCGTGAAGTGAGATTTAATGAACCCAGAATCCGTGACATTAATACGGGCTTTTAGCTTCAATTGCATGACCATTATAATATTTGCTAGAATGTCTGGCAACACTTTTACACATGGTCTCTATTCCTGTGCCTGAGGGTTTTTTCCTCTTTTTTCTTTTTCGAGAAACTTGGTGGAACGATGGTAGAGCTATAGAACGTATGTATGTGTCACAACTTAATTTTTTGACTTGTAGTGATCAATTGAAAGTAAATATTTTCCATCATATAGGTACTTAGTTCAAACCGGTTACACCTTATCTAGTTTATTCCATCATTTCCTTATTAGTAATAGCTAGTCACTTTTGCTTTTCATTTCACTATATTTTCCACAGACCCAATATTCAAAAATGACTGACTTATTTAATTCTCTTCATAGTCTTGACTTATTTCTTCTACAAATGTGGAATTTCTACACACTACAAAAAAACTATTTTTCTTTCTGCGCAGTTCAGGCAAAACTTGCCAAGTAGGAGAGTTGAATTATGATGTGTTCGGGCTCTTCAACAATTAGGCAACACAATAAATATTATCTTTCCTGCTTTATTTTCATATTTTTGTTCGATCCTACTTTTTTCCTTTGTTTCGCAGTTTTCCCCTGTTATTTGGTATGCTCATTACAAGCTCTTTTCTCGTTCATCTACTGTCCCCGGGTTCATCTCATTCTTACGTTGCTCCTTGGCAATTTCTAGAATTTTGCACGGCTCTACCCTGAAACTATCATTTTTTCTAGTGTCATCTTAAAGACATTTTTCCCCAGTATTGCCAGGTCATATTTTGTTTTGTCAGTAGATTACCAGTCTAAATATCAGTAGAAATCAGTAGACAGATAAGTTGCCTCGTTAAAGGGGTAAACCATTAATCAAAGTATACTCAATTAAGTTTTAACTACGTTTTTTCAAATCATTAAATCATTAGACTGTGTATTAGACTATGAAAACTTGCATTAGAAAATCAAACACCAATACTTACTACTTATGAGAAATAGTTTATTAAGATTAAGACACGTGAGATATTCCTATTAAATATGCACTACCTATGGGATGCCCCATTATTTGGTTTTATATTCTTGAAGAATACAATTTCCTGATTCCAAAACTATATAGTTGGTCTGTATTTTGTTGAGCCGTCTTCAACATATTTGGTTCTAAAAATTTTAAAAATACTATCAGAGAAACCAAGTACCTACCTTAAATTTTACCTGCAGCTTTCACCTGTACAGGTAGAATGGTTCACAAAATCAGTATAGTAGGATATAATCAACCATCCAAGGACTTTTTTTTTCAGTTATACATGTAAACCCCATACTTTGTGAGTCGCTTGCTTACATCAAGTCCTACAACTTTTTTCCTCTGCGGCTTTTCTCGGAAATCGCACGTATGGGCGCAGGCGACTCGCAAACATGTCGATCTGACGTAGCTATGTTTCCTGATACATGTAAATCTAATTTTACGAATAATGTTTGATTTTTATGTCTAAATCATGGAAATCAACTTGGCCGACAAAAATAATGGCAAATTGGGGGAGTCCGACACCCCCAAAATGTCGATCTGACGAGGTTTGTTTCTTGATACATGTAAATGTAAATCTAATTTTATGAATACTGTTTGATTTTTATGTCTAAATCATGGAAATCAACTTGGCTGGGGTAATTACCCCCCAGGATCGAATTATCAAGAGAAAAACCAGGATGCCCAAAAGAAAATACCTAATATATTGAAGAAACTAACTTTTTTGTTTTGCTTTATTTTTCTCACAAAGGAAATAATTGTTCTGGAAAAGTGAATGACCTTGAAATATGCAAAAAATGTTTTCGGAGGACGCCCCCTCAACCCCCCCCCCCCCCCCCCCCCGTACCATTTACTCCCTCCCAGACTGCTGGTCACGCGTCGCCACTGACCTAAGATAAGCATATTCCATTTGAATTTACCAGTGTTGCCAACTGCTCTTTGCAAAATTAGTGGCACGGAATTCCACATTTACTGGCAAATACAAAATGTCGAATTTAGGCCCTATTTTCAGGCGATTTCAAGTCAGACACAAGTCTTGACTCCTTTTGTATTAACATTTTCAAATCAGAAATGATGACGTCAAGTTTCAAGACATTGGCTTAAGCATGGGTCACTCTCCCTAGTTACCAGAATTTAAATGTGTTCATCATATCCTGAAACTTAAAAAATTGTCATTCAAATCAGCATGAGCATGCAATATAACGTGATCATTATATAATATATAAGGCGCTTTCTTTTTCCCGTCGATCTATCCAACAATATCAGTCAGTTATTCCAAACTCTTCTTCTTCTAGTCTTAACTTTATTTCCTGTCGGACTTGTCGGACTTGTCGGACAAGACTAATTTAGCATTCAGGGCCGAGATTCTAAAATCACGATTCGACACACGACTCGACAACGATACCGGCCTTGTCGTGTCGAAAGGTATAATTCCAATGAGATTTCTAACCTAGAATCGTCGGAAAAATCGTCTCGTTGTCGAATCGTATGTCGAATCGTGATTTTAGAATCCCCGACCAGAAAACATTATTTGATCAAGACTTACTTTTGTCCGACATATATGTATCAGGAAACATGACCTCGTCAGATCGACATTTTGGGGGTATCGGACTCCCCCAATTTGCCATTATTTTTGTCCGCCAAGTTGATTTTCATGATTTAGACATAAAAATCAAACATTATTCGTAAAATTAGATTTACATTTATCAAGAAACATAACCTCGTCAGATCGACATGTTTGCGAGTCGCCTGCGCACATACGTGCCATTTCCGAGAAAAGCCGTAGAGGAAAAAGTTGTAGGACTTGATGTAAGCAAGCCACTCATAAAGTATGAGGTTTACATGTATAACTGAAAAAAAAGGTCCTTGGATAGTTGATTTTTTACAATTTTTGGAGCCGAATATACATATGAGAGACTGTTCAATCAAATATAGACAAACTATATATTTTTGGAATCGGAGCATTGTGCTCTTCAAGAATATAGAATGAAATATAGGGCATCTCATTTGAAAAAAGCTCGAAGTACCTATGCATAATTTCACATTTCTGACATTCAAATGTTGTTTCTAATCATGGTTTCTAAAAATTCAGCCAAAACTGTACAACTTTTGTATTTACGCCTTTTTTCTGCCTGTAAAAGGAGGTAGGTGGAGTGTCAATATATAAAAAAACACCCTGTATGAATAAGTGGATTATTGTGGAACTTATGGGTGAACCTCTGCGGGACGAGCGGAGCGAGTTCCGCAGCCATCTACCAATATAGTGTTGAATTGTTCAAATAAGACATTCACCTGGAAATGTAGTTTTTAAACTAATGAGAATAACTCACATTTGAGTGAGTCAGGTTAGTATCGTAATTATTAATTAAACAACATATTGATGAATAGATGGCTGCGGAACTCGCTGCGCTCGTCCCGCAGAGGTCCACCCATAAGTTCCACAACAATTCACTAATTTGTACTTGAATAACTTGACACAATATATTACTAGGGCACGTGTTGTGCGTCTCAATTTGAACGCATTTTTAGACTGCAGAAGAGAGCTCTTCGTTATTCTTTGGGACTTGGTAGTAGAACTCACTGCCGGGAATTTTTTATCAAATCTAGTATATTGACTCTTCCATCTTTATTTATTTTCGAATCCGTCTGCTTAATTCGTAAGCACTTAATATCAGCTATCTCAGAGAGGCCATCTCACAATTATCCACTGAGGAACGCAGAGTTGGATCTTTATCTGCCAATCCCGCGCTCAGAGTTAGTTAAAAGTTCGATACTTTATAATGCTAAAAAGATGCATAATCATCTACCGCCTAACATCAGGTCCATTGCATCTTTTCTCGAATTTCGCAGGGCGTTGAGGGTGTATTTACTGAGGAGAGCCTTGTACACAGTAAGCGAGTTGTTTATGGTTTCCTAATTCTAAATTTTGAGCAGCTTACTCACAGGTTTTGTTTTTGTTCCTGTATCATGATAGGTTATTATAAGTTATTGTTTGTTTGTTTTTTTAGTACCTATAATATGCTTACTCGCACAGTATAAGCAGTTAGACCTAGATGTTTGTTTGTTAGTTTTAATCAAATTTTGACCATGAACTATTTGTTCAAGTGTTTGGTTTTGTCTGTGCTTTTGCATTTGTATGTTTTGTTTTTTATTTTTTCAGCTTTGTCCACAAAATTGTAAAATTTTCTGACAATAAAGCAAATTCTTTCTTTCTTTCTTTCTTTCTTTCTTTCTTTCTTTCTTTCTTTCTTTCTTTCTTTCTTTCTTTCTTTCTTTCTTTCTTTCTAGTTTGGTAAAGTAACATTACTAATTTCTGTTGAAAGGCGAATTGACAAAGCCATCTACTCACCAATATATACTGTTGAATTGTTCAAATTAGACATTCACCTGAAACATGTAGTTTTTAAACTAATGAGAATAACTCATATTTGAGTGAGTCAGGTTAATATCGTAATTAAACAACATATTGATGAATAGATGGCTGCGGAACTCGCTACGCTCGTCCCGCAGAGGTCCACCCATAAATTCCGCAACAATTCACTCATTTGTACTTGAATAACTTGTACAATATATTACTAGTTTGGTAAAGTAACATTACTAATTTCTGTTGGAAGGCGAACTGACAAAAAGTGAATAATCGTAATCTTACAAATTTTGAGTTTATATAATAAGTTATTGTTCAAGTACAAATAAGTGGATTATTGCGGAACTTATGGGTGGACCTCTGCGGGACGAGCGCAGCGAGTTCCGCAGCCATCTACTCATCAATATACTGTTGAACTGTTCAAGTAAGACATTCACCTGAAGCGTGTAGTTATTAAGCTAATGAGAATAACTCACATTTGAGTGAGTCAGGTTAATATCGTAATTGAACAACATATTGATGAATAGATGGCTGCGGAACTCGCTGTAACATTACTTATTCCTGTTGAAAGGCGAAATGACAAAAAGTGGATAATCTTACAAATTCTGACTTTATATAATAAGTTATTGTTCAAGTACAGAGTGTTTTTTTATATATTAACACCCCACCTACAGCCTTCACCTTTGCAAGTAGATCAAAGGTGTAAATACTAAAGTTGTACAGTATTGGTTAAATTTTTAGAATCCGTGGTCAGAAATAAAAATTGAATGTCAGAAATATGAAATGTTGCATGCATTCAGTTTTTTTCAAATGGGAGTACCTATGCAGTAGTTTAGTCTTATAAAAACAGGTAAAACAAGCTGCAGTTAGTTGTACAGCATAACGCTATGTGACTAATTGACTAAGACTAACAACAACGCATGCCTTTAGGCAACTGGCAAGGCAAAAGGCAAATAAATAGGACAACAAGATATAACACAAACACGCACGAACGCAGGTCAATAATGGCAATGGCTTTTATCAGTAGAATTTACATTGATATCAGTATATCAGTAGACCAGTGGCCAAATCAGGTTGCTCCAGACAACCGCCTCGTCTCGTCCAACCACGTGATCATGCATTTGACCAAACCATTCTCCCAGTTTATCAAGCAAGCTTATTGCTTTTTTGTGCCTGCTTCTTAATTCAGAGATATAATACGTTGCTCAAGAGTAAGCTGTGGCTAGAGAGTGTCAAAAAGATATATCTTTCACATGACAGATTACATCTCGGTTCAAAATGCATCTTTATAAAGCCGGGCTCAAACGACTCGTGTACTTGGCGAATAATTGTTAATGTCGTGTGAGTGGGGTTCCCAACAAACACAACTTATCGGCGCTGTAATGTTGCTGTATCACGAACACAGCCCAAATACAGCACATAAATAGTTTTATTAATGCTGTGCAGCACTTGTATTGGGAATACTGTATTTTAGAAGTGCAGTAAGTGTTTGATATGCAGCGGCTTTGCATATTTTGTATTGGAAAAGCAATAGATTATTTCGATCTCCCATGCGCATATTGATGCAACAACTGTTGTAAAATGTTAGTGCAGTTACTGTAAAGAAATGTGCCTATTTGCGCGAGCACAGTATTTTTTGCCGTAGAGTTGCGAGCGTAGCCATTTTGTTTTATTTTAATGTGTTTATTGTATTGTATTGTTTTACTGATGCAGGGCAGCGTTTTTGATTTATAATTTTTGTGGTATTTTCCACGTGTCCTTTACCTGTGATTTGTATTACTACGTGTACAAGATGCA